GTTCCCAGACCGTGCCTGCGAGCAGAGCGTGGGGAGGGATGGTGTTGAGGGCAGAGCCCTCAGTCTGTGTGTCTGTCTGTCTGTCTGTCTGCTGCAATCTGAGCTTTTGAAGATGCAGATGGGTCTCTGAACCCCTCACGTGTCCGGCGTCTGGAGGGACATCTGGGTGTCGTCGGAGGGGAAGGGCAGGCCCACGAGCCTCGGGAGGGGTAAATGTATAAAGAAAATCTCATCAGAGCCTTCAAACTGTAAAAAGAAATAAAACCAAACCTGCCCCCAGAGATCAAACAAGGCCTTGGTTGTCAGAGGTCGTATGGAAGAGATTTCACATCTGCAGAGATGGTTGTGCTGTTTCAGCAGACTGGGGTTGGAGCCTGATGCTGTTCTGCTCCCCCCTCAAACCTCAAAATCCTTAAAAAAACCCTAAAATCCCAAGCAGATATGGATGCTGAGTTACTGTTCCTGGACAGCAGGGAGTTGCTGGAGGAGGTTGTTCCCATGAGAGAGCTGGGATTGTTCAGCCTGGGGAAGGGAAGCTTTGGGGTGACCTGACTGTGGCCTTGCAGTGCCTGAGGGAGCTGCAGGAAAGATGGAGAGAGACTTTTCTCAGGGGTCTGGGGTGACAGGACAACGGGAACGGCTTCCCACTGCCAGAGGGCAGGGCCGGATGGGATATTGGGAAGGAATCCTTCCCTGGGAGGGTGGGCAGGCCTTGGCACAGGTTGCCCAGAGAAGCTGTGGCTGCCCCATCCCTGGGAGTGTCCAAGGCCAGGTTGGAGCAACCTGGGACAGTGGGAGGTGTCCCTGCCCACGGCACGGGGTGGGAACTGGGTGGGCTTTAAGGTCACTTCCAATCCAAACTGTTCTTACTGCAGAAAGTAACAGCATTCTCTTTGTCTCACAGTTTATTGTCTCTGTGGCTGAGCTGCAAACTGAAAAGAGGTTTGGGTTTTTTTTTATTCCTTTTTTTTTTTTTTAAGTTGTGCCTGCAGATTTATCTTTCAGCCAAATTAGGAGCTGTACCTTGCTTAGAGCTCTGCCTTTTATTTGTCTATCTCAGATAATTTCATAAATGTGGTGCAGTAGTATAACTACTGCAATTATTGCTAAATAAATAAATACTGTTGTTTTTTTTTTTTCTTTTAGGTCTATAGTTTCGGAAGCCTGGATGAAAAACATGGAATGTGTTTCATGTGCTGCCAGTGCCACAGAGTGTTGTTTGCGTGTTTTGCTCAAAGGTAAGGTAGCTGTCAAAGAGCAGAAATGTGTCTGTGGAAGGGATGTGGTGACAAAGATGAACTTCAGTGTGGCTGTAGCTGAAAATTGGAGCGAACTCATCAATGGGAAAATCAGGATTTGGGATCATAATCTTGGCACAGTTTGGGGCTTTTCACGTTAGGCCAGCAGTTATTGCTTTGTCACGGTTTAAATGGGAGCCTGTGGATGTGAACAGCTTTATTTTTTTAATTACTGTAGCTGGGCATGGTTAGTGGGGGAAAAAAGGGTTCTGAGCAGACAATAAAAACCTGCTGAATTTCCCTGCAATGTGCTTATTTTGAAGTGGGAAGGAAGCGAAGTGACATGGATAACATATGAACCTACTATATCTCCTTGATGTGGATATTAAAGGAACCTTGAAAATGGTTTATGGGGAAGTTGTTGGAGGCTTCTAATTTTAAATTCTTAACAGGAAATCATTAAACTGTAGAGGAGCCAACATAACAGACTGTTGCTCTAAAACAAGAGCTAAATGCAGAGCATCCACATGAACTTGTCAGATCTTTTTTTAATGATTTTTCTTTTTTTTTTTTTTTTTTTTTTCCTCTTTGCCTTTCCTTTCATGTTTACTGCAACCCAGATAAATACATTTTCATTCTTGTTTTTCACATGCACCAGTTCAGGAGCCCCGTTGTGGCTGAGATGTGAAAGGCAATGCCTTTATGGTGAGACCTCAGGGAATGTGGAGATGATCCATCAGACCCAGAGGTGTGAACTCCTCGTGTGGCCACCCAGAACTTGTGATGTGGAATCAGGATGAATTTGAATGTCCCTTTCTTAATTTCTTCTATTGGCTGATGCAGCTGAGGGGGAGGAATGATGCAGTGAGAAATGCAGCTAATTTAATTGAAGTTTGAGCCTATTTGACAAACTAAAAAAAAAACAAACAAACAGGCGCTCCAGTTAAAGGAAAAACTGAAATTTTCCATCCACATAAGAAGTCATGGCCTTTAATTCTGAGAAATTATTTGAATTAGTTGAACCAGAGTAAGAAAGAATAACGCTTGTACAGCTGCTCTGGGATGGATTTATTTCAGCAACTGTTAGCCAAAATGAGAAATAACCAATCACCTGGCTGTGTTTGGCTTAGAAACATTTGATGTGAAATGATTTAAACTTATACAAAAGATGCTTTTAACTGTGAGCTGTTTAACCTGAGGTGGGTGTTTAAGAGCTGAGGGGCCAAGGGCAGTTCCTGCTCAGCATTTGCTTCCTTTAGGTACAAACCCAAGAGCAGCATTTCCCAACTTTATTAAAAGTTCTTCTCCCCGCATCAAACTTCACCTTTGGCAGATTTTTTCCTCCCTGCATCTTCCAACTTTTCCGTGCCCCTGTTTCTGTCAGGGTCTGGTTTAGCTGACGGGGTTTGGTTTTATTTTGTGAGCCGAAGGACTTCAGAGGAAAACCAGGAAATGTGGTTTGAGTTGCCGGGGGGATCTGCTGGGTTCGTGTGCCCCGTAAATCTTGAAGCACTTGGGGTTTCCAGCAGTTGTTGCAGGCAGAAACATCTTTAATGTATTGTAATTTGATTAAATGTGTGAGTGTAGGTATGATTTATACCCTCTGCCACGGCCTTGATTGTAGAAGTATTGACAGAAACGAGGCACTTTGCCACTTGAAAAGGCAAAAGCAATCCTTGGATATAAAAAGACAGAAATACCTTGGGGTTTGAAGAGGAGTTTCTTCCACCATAACTATTTTTTTCCCCTTTGTTTCCTTAATTTTACAAACGCCAGACTCCCCAGAGCGTGTTTACAGCAGGCACAGGGGTAGGAGTCCATCTGTGTGGTTCTGTTCCTGGAGGAGCTTGTGATTTTCCACTCTAAATTGTTTGGGAAAGCATCACCTGTGTTGAATGGCACTAATCCTCACATGACAACACCCCTGCCCACATTTACCCAGCTATGAAACAGGGACACTGCACTTTTGGGAAGCAAGGGGCTCTAGTTGTCCCTGTGATGACACAGATGTGACAATGCTATGTTGCCATTTTTTGGTCAATGGTTTTAAGTTGCTGGCTATTTTGTGCTAAAAACTAACCGTAAAATATTTATTCCTCTCCTTTTGTGTGTGCTGTGATGTGGGTGGTGGTGGATCTGCTGCAGGCCTGGCAATTGATGCCCGTGTTTTATTTGTTAATTAAAAGGGGAATAGTGATACCTTGAGGTGTTTGGGATTGTGTAGAGCTCAAATTAATCTTTATCTCCTTTCCACGCCGTCGAAGTGCCCGATGGACTTATCTAAAATACTCTTATGAAACTTAATGGTCCGGTTTTTAAAGCAATTCTATCTTGGGCTGCTGATCTGGTGATTGATCTGATGGTATAAACACCTGGAAAGTAGGAAGGGCTCGTTATCTTATTGGATTAGTGGGGATTAATTCATTAATGGTTGTAGCAGGTTTGCAAATCCCTGGGAGCTCCCGGAATCCAAAGCTTTGCGGATATATTTCTTATTTTTCCAAATACTGTTGGCTTTAATGTGGTCGAGGGAAGGAAATCCAAGGGCCTTGCAGTCCTTAAGCTGAACAATTATCCCCGTGGAGGTATTTTTGCCAAATTCCATGGTGGTTTTTCGCTGTAGTGGGAAGGGGCTCTGGGAGTTGGAAGTAAAAACAATGTCTGGAATTTCAGCTCTAAAACCCAAACGCACAAACTCCTCCTGTGGGAAGGGAACGTCTTAAATAGTTGTGAGTGTAAACCGTGCATGTCCCGTGGATGTGTAAATTCCAGGGGGATCACTGTCCAAACGGGAGAGCTGGGATTTCAGCCAGGAGCAGGGAAAGATGGAGGGGCTGGGATAATGCTGGATTCCCTTCTGGATCAGGGAAAGATGGAGGGGCTGAGTGACTTTCAGGAATTCCTAGAGCAGGGAAGGATCCCATGCTGGACTTGCCAGAGCAGGGAAAGACGAGGGGCTTGAGCAACACCCAGGGCATCCCTGAGCAGGGAAAGATGGGGGGGATCTGAGTAACTCCAGAGATTCCTGGAGCAGGGAAGGAGAGAGTGAGGGTTGGGTAACGGGGGGTCCTACAGCAGGGGAAGATTGGGGGCAGAGTAACACTGGAGCCCCTGGCCCGGGCCGTGCCCCCCTCCCTGGCCCGGGCTGTCCCCTCTCCCGCCGCTGGGGGCGCTGTGTGGCCGCGGCTGCTCCCGCCGCCCCTTCCGCCGCGGCGGTGCCGGGCGGGGCCGGCAGGGGGCGCTGTCCCGGCCCGCGGGCGCTGCCGGCGCCGTTCCCGTTCCGGCGGGCGGAGGGAGCGGGAGCGGCCCCGGGAGGCTGCGGGAGGCACCGCGGACATGCCCGGGCGGCCCCGGGGACACCCGCGATAATCCTCGCTGTCGGCGGCGCTGGGCGGGGAGCGGCGGGCGAGCTGCCCCCTCCTCCTTCTCCCCCCCCTCTCTCCTCCCCATGGAGGGGCCGTACGCGCTGGGGGTGAGCGTGTTCTCGGACCAGGGCGGCAGGAAATACATGGAGGACGTGACCCACATCGTGGTGGAGCCCGAGCCGCCGCCAGGCCCGCACAAAGGCGGAGCGGCGCCCGCAGGCCCCGGCGCCGCCGAGCCCCCGGCCGAGGGCGGGCGGCGCCGGGGGGGGACCCCGCGGGCGGCCGAGGACGGGGCGCAGCCCCCCGGCAGCGGCCCCGGGCGGCGGCCCCGCCGCTCCGTCGCCTTCTTCGCCGTGTGCGACGGGCACGGCGGGCGGGAGGCGGCCCAGTTCGCCCGGGAGAACCTGTGGGGCTTCATCAAGAAGCAGAAGGGCTTCGGCTCGGCCGAGCCGGCCGAGGTGTGCGCGGCCCTGCGCAAGGGCTTCATCGCCTGCCACCGCGCCATGTGGAAAAAGCTGCGTAAGTCCCGCACCCCGCGCTCCCTCCCGCGGGAGAAACGGCCCCGCCATCGCCCCCCGCCATCCCCCTGCGCTGCTCCGCGTCCTCAGCCGCCTTTTCCTTCCCCCCTCACTATTGTGAGTTACCATCGCTGCCCCTTCCCTCCCATCGCTGCCCCCTTTCCCTTCCCTCCCATCGCTGCCCCCTTTCCCTTCCCTCCCATCGCTGCCCCCTTTCCCTTCCCTCCCATCGCTGCCCCTTCCCTTCCCTCCCATCGCTGCCCCTTCCCTCCCATCGCTGCCCCTGTGCCGGGAATGGGGAGAACGCGGGGTGGGATTGGAGGTCTCGACGCGAGCGGTTCGGTTGGAACAAGAAAAACTGGAGCGCGGGCTGCGAGAGAGAAGATGTAAACACAGGGTGGTGAGGACGCGCTGTTTTGTGGCTGGGAACGATGTGGTGGGGGAGCCGCGGTTTGTTTTCGGCGTGTTGCGGGTCGGATCTCCGAGCCGGGTTTATTGGGAGGTCTTCGCCTTGTTGCCCTGGGGAATCGCCCTGAACTCCCGCTTAGATTTCCCTTGGATAATTAAAAAAAAATTAATTTTAACAAACCGGGCTGGGATGGTGTTTTTTTCCCCTAAGTCTGTTTCCAGTTGTTTTGTGATGAAAGGGTTGAAATGTGGCTGGTGGTGTTGTGTGGGCATCGGGGGTTATGCAGGGTCACTGCCAGAACAGAAAACACACTCGGTATCCTGAATATTCTGTATATTGTTTGCTTAACTGCAGGAGGATAGAATAACTGCAGGGGTCCTAAATAAGGAAGGGTAAAGGAGAGACAGTGCCCAGACAGGTGACATTCATCATTCCTGTGCTCTTCCTTCTCCCTGGATCTAGTGAGACCGAAAAATTGAGTTTCTGAAAGGTATTTTTTTTCTTGGTGAGGTGGAAGGTTATGCCTCGGAGCATGGTTATTGTTTATATCCGATGTGTGAATTGTGTATGGATTTATGTGTTCAAAAGCCTCAGAAACTGAAAATAAAGAGCAGTGTGCAGCACACGAGGACAGGAAGGTGTTGGAGCCCAGGAAAATCAGACCCAAAGCACAGGGACATGGTGACAGCTGGCCCTGGGAGGGAAACCTGAAAAGCAAGAACTGCACCCCGAGCACCCCCGGGGGATTTCAGTGAAGTGATTCAGGGGGTGTGGGGGGGATTACGGTGTCAAAAGAGTTTCATTTTCCGTTTTCTTGAACAGCGAAATGGAGAAGTTGCGCAAGTGTCAGATAGGAGGATGGCGAGGCCGAGGGCTCTCTGGGGAGAGGGAAGGGTGTGAGGTTTGGGAGCAGCACAACCTGCCCCCAGGCCTGATGGTGGGGTGGGTGCCCTCCTGGCCTGCAGGGCTGGGTGATAAGGGGGGAGATGTGTGAGCGAGGGGGAAGGTGGCGTGGGGGGGAAGATAAGGAGTTCAGTTTTTGAGCTGTGAACTCTCTGAGCACCCAAGGCAGAGAGGTGAAGTGCCAGAGTGCAGGAAGCCTTGTTTGGGTAGGGAGTGTTCAGCAATCACCACCGGGGCTGTGGAAGCAATTTACGTTGTTGTGAGGAACAACATCGCTCTGGCTGTGAGTGTTTGATGACAGTTGGAGGTGTTTTGTCAACTCCAGACTATGTTGGGCCTTGCTGGTTTCTGCTGCACATGCGGGAACAGCCCGAGTTCTGTGGGACATTTATTATTATTATTATCTCTGGTTTGTAATTTCTCATTCTGTGTTTAGGGATCCCAGGGTGAATTATACTGACAGGAAATAATTTTCCATGTTATCACACGTGCAGCAGATCTTTAACCGTGTGTAGGTGACACTGTGGGTGTGAAATGGAGGCTGGGTATTTTGGAAAGTCAAAGAGCAGTTTGGAAGTGTGGTGTGGAGGATGGAGGCTTTGCTGCTTCCAGCTGGAAGAGAAGCCCAGCACTCAGCTGCTCTGTTGGTTGTTGGAAGCTCTGGGATCACCCCCTGCATCTCCTGGGACAGACACAAAACGTACTGATTGTGAGAGCACCAGAAACAATTAAGACAGAAAAATTACCCCTTAGGCATTGCTGATAATTTTTTTGGCATTAATTCTATAGTAATAAAAATTTGTACTAAAGGGCTTCTGGAGTAAAGGTTCATATTGGAAGCTACGAATCCGGTTTATGAGTTTATGAGCTCAAAGTTACAAGGCTGAGTGAAGGGTAGTGATTTTCAGCTCCAATTCCTCATTTTTGGTGCTGCTGGAAAAACTGTCAGAAGTTTAAAATGCGTATCTTCACAGAGGGGAAGGCGTCACTGGGTTTGATCCTTCTTTTCTCGTGTGTTTATTCCTGCTGTGCCCCAGGAAAGCAGAGAACCCGGTGCTCTGGCAGCCTGGCTGGGGTGTTCCCTGCAGACAGGGTGGAATTCCTGCCTTGTGCTGTGTGAGCCTGACTTGTGAAGTGCAGGGGATAGAATGAGTCTCCCCGTGGAGTTTGTCTGGAGACATGAGTGGGTGCAGTGAAGGAGAAGCAGGAGGTTGCCGTTGACAGTTGAAATGAAGTGATAGCTGGGAAGTGGAGTGGGGATTTCAGGGGGTGCTGGAGTGGGGAGGAGGTGCTTTGGCTGAGCTTGTCTGAACGGGGATGTCTCTGTGGAGGTCTGGAGGAAGATGAGCTTTTTGTAGATGTTAAAAATAGAAAAGGCGTGAAAGGGAAATTTGGATTGAACGTAAGTGGGGAGAGTGGTGCAGCAGGAAGTTTAATATCAGTGGTTTGAGGGCAAAGCAGTTGAGAAAGAAGGAGGATTCCTCAACCATGTGTAGCTGACAGCAGCACAGGGATGTTGTTGCTCTGGTTTCAGGGGGTATCTCCTGTGGAAGGTGGATGTTGGGTTAAGGAGAGCATCTCTGAACAGTCCTGATGAATCATTCACTGGGTCCTGCTCAAGGAGCACACCTTCCCCCAGCTTCTTCTAGTGGTGCTTGGAGCATTAAGCCAGAGGAGCCAGTTTTTTGCATCCTGTCCTGGTGCTTTGGTGGTGGCTCTGTCTCTACATTTGTGTCGATTTAAGCTGTAGCTGCAGGTGCTGTGAAGGGAGTGGGGGTGGGCTGGGGGCACAGGCCGGCCTGGCCGCGCTGCAGTTGAGCTCAGGCTGTGTTGTGACATCACACAAGCCTCTGGCACACCCTTCCTCCTGACCTTCGAGGCGTTCCCAGCTCCAGAGAATTAAGAACGTGCCCTTTTCTTTGGCCTGTTTTGTGTCACTGCAGCAGAGTGGCCCAAGACCATGACGGGGCTGCCCAGCACGTCGGGCACGACGGCGAGCGTGGTGATCATCAGAGGCTCCAAGATGTACGTGGCGCACGTGGGAGACTCGGGGGTGGTGCTGGGGGTCCAGGATGACCCCAAGGACGACTTTGTGAGAGCTGTGGAGGTCACACAGGACCACAAGCCGGAGCTGCCCAAGGAGAGGGAGAGAATCGAAGGCCTGGGGGGCAGGTAAGTGTGTCTGCTCTGACTCTGAGCTCAGCTTAGTTTTGGCGGGGGGGATCGTGCAAGCAGCTGAATCTCACTGTGTGTTTCTGTTGTCCTCTGGGGTTTTTTTATGGCTTGTTGGGGAAGATGTTACAGTGATCCACTGTTACGTGGTTGGGTTTTTTGGGAGTGGTTTGTGGCGTACACGGAATTTTGATTCCCTGGTGGGTCAGCCAGCTGAGGTGTGCTTACAGTTCTACGTGTTCACCCAGCACTCTGAAAGTGGAGATGGTGATATTTGACCTATTTTTCGTTAAATTCTGAGGAATCTGGGGGTTGGGAGAATTATCTTTGCAGATAAGGAAAATTACCTTGGCACGTAAGTAAAATGATACGAGGTCTGGAATACCCAATTTTGTCCAAGTTTGACACAAACCACTATCATTTCTCAGGCATTTTGCATTGTTCCTGAGATAGCAGCTGTTGAGTAGGCTCCTCAAAGCTTCTGCTTAGGGAACATAAAAAAAGAATATAAAGGTTAGATTTGAAACCAAATCCCGCGTTTGCTGTGCCTGAACAGCCCCTGTAAACGTTGGAACTGTGCAGGAGCCGTTCCTGAGCTGGCAGAGGCTGGAACCCCCGAGCTGGGGGGGGGCTATGTGTGTCCCCTGGGGGTGAGGGGGAAGCAGGCAGGGCTGTCAGGTGGCACAAATGTTTGGACACAAAGCTCAGGGCTCGTGGTTGGCGGAGCTTCAGCGCAGCTCGGCGTGCCCGCGGCAGATGGGTGGGCACGGCTTCCTTCCCAGAGCTGGGCTCTCTGAAGGCTTTCCTGTTGACATCACTGGTCTGAGAGTCCCGTCAGCCCGTGGACCTTCAGACATTTGTGTCTCTGGCAGCTGGGACTGGAGCAGGTGGCTTTGCAGAAGGGGAAACCTGGGGTTTCGCTGCGTTAGTACCTGTGGAGATCTCCAAATTGTGCAGCTCAGAGCCTGAAAGTCTCTGAAGCTTCAGAGCAGCATTCCCTGAAATTTTGTATCTACAGGAATGCTCAATTTGTTTGTTTGTTTGTTTTTTTATTTAATCCTTTATTTTTCCTGGGGCTCCTGTTTTTCCCAGGCTGGCTGTGAGGCAAATGGTAGGAGTGAGGTGGAACTTTGCTGCTGTGCCTGGTGATGTCTCCTCTTTCATCAGAGCAAACTGGGAACAGTTGAGGGCAGAGCATAATTGAATCTTCCATTACAAGGAGATTTTCCTAGTAACAGTCTGAGTGTGGGATGAGGTTTTCTTTCAGCTAATGACTGAAGTGAGCTTTGTGTGGTCATCAGCTGGACAAGTGGATGAGATCAGTTTTTAGGATGTGGTGGTTGTGACTTTGCCGTGCTGGGGATGGAGCTCAACATGCCCTTGTTGTTAAGGCCTTTGAAGTCTCAGGAAGTGCATCTTGAATGGCTTCAGTATGAGGAATCTTGAGGCTGTTCCAGAGCTGCTCAGTTTCTAATTACCAATGGCTGTTGCTTGGATAAAAGGAACTTACAAGTATCTAGTTCTTAACTTGGTTGGGACCAAGCGTTGTTAGCTCCTGGTTTATTGACCCTTATTCCTTGGTGGTTCATGCACTGTCCTTTCTTCCCTGCCCCAGTTATCTGCTCTGCAGCTTCTTTGACCCCTCAGTGCCATCTGGGAGAGCCAGACCAGCTCGCTGCCTCAGAGCAGGTGCTCACATGCAAATGCAGAGCTGATTCCTCCCATCTCCTGCTTCCAGCAGACAGCAACTGGGAACAATTCCTCTTTTGTGTCTGCAGGGGAATCCCTACAGCAGGCTGCTCCCTTCTCTTCTCTTGTTCCCACTGTGCTGTGTTTCTCATCACTGCCAGACTCTGGAGATGGAGAAAACTGGAGGAGGAACCCCACGGTATTTCCACCTGAGTGAGCTGGTGTTGATGAGGGCAGCAAATTCAGTTCTCTTCTTTCTCTGACAAAGAATTTCTTCCAATTCTTCGTTCCCCTGCTTTTTGTTTTCCTCTGCCCTTCACCTCTCACTTCTCCCTTTGGCTTAACATGGAATGAAACTCTGAGGGATGTTTTGAAACACTCGTGGACTGTCCTGAGGGGGTGTTGCCATTATTGCCCCCTGATTTGCATATTTAACTGGCTTTGTCTCCTTTTTGCTCCCGTTCCCGCTCCTGGGTGACCTGTGGCTGTCTCTGGCGGTTCCAGCGTGATCAACAAGTCCGGGGTGAACCGCGTGGTGTGGAAGAGGCCCCGGCTGAGCCACAACGGCCCCGTGCGCCGCAGCACCGTCATCGACCAGATCCCCTTCCTGGCCGTGGCCAGAGCGCTGGGTGAGTGCTGTGCTGGGAACACAGGGCCAGCTCCCAGCCTGCATGGGGTGGGAGGGATTCATCACTGGCTTCTGGCAGGTCTGGGCCTTTTAAATGGATTTTTAATGCAAGCTGGGCGTATTTGTTTGGAATCCGTAAAAGGCGGCGTCGATGAGAGGAGAACCCCCTTCCAACTTACAGGGGTTTCAGTGTCAGCCTTACAGGGATTCCTGGTGCAGATGGAAATGGATGAGCAGCTCATTGTCTCCAGGATGGAGAGCACCCTGGTCTTGTTCTTGCTGGGATTTTTGCCTGGTGTTGCTGGATGGCACATGAGTTCAGTCTGCCTTTTGTGGTGACTCTTTTTTTTCTTTAACACTTAGCACAGAACGGGATGAAAGTCAAGCCTTGTATTTTGTCTGTAACTTGCCTTTGTGGGAGCACTAATAATGGGGAACTGTCTTTCAGAAACACCTTATTCCAAGGACAGAAAGGCATCTTACAGTGCTGGGAAACTACTGATGAATGGGTTTTGGGAAGGGCTTCACAACTGAATCACTGGATGCCTCTTACCCTTGAGTCTTGGTGTCTGCTGGTTATTTTTCCCCTTAAGTCTCACCACAGAAAGCCAATCATTGGCACTTTGCTTTGTTTCCTTCCCCACTTTGCCTCAGTGAATGATCTGTCCAGCTCTCCCCCATGTAGGATGGATTTTATGGAAGTGTGTGGTGTTACCTGGGAAAACTGTCCTGTGCCTTTCATTCCTTCTGTTTGGGTTTAAACACCTGGCCTAAGAGAAATCTTCCTGGCCTCAGGAACTCTGTTGACACCCCCTTTGCTGTTCTGATTGTCACAAGTGCCCTTCTGCCCTAAAATGAGCATCTGTGGAATGCACAGTGGCTGTATTCAAGTATTTAAATGATGTTTAATTTATTTACAGCCCCAGAACAAGGCAGAAACATTTGGGCTTCCTCCTGGCTCTGGGAAGTGTCTTTGGGCTGCTTTTGCTGGGTACAGGAGGTTTTCTGTGCCTTCTATAACTTGAAACAAGCAGCAAGTGTAGAAAGGAGGGGACACCCAGGGTGATTAATGGCTGGGCTTTGGAGGTTCCTGCGAGTGCAGCTTAAAGTCATTGTGGTTTTCCTGAGCTGCTGTTTAAGTTCATATCCCCCAGCCTGGGGGAGCTCACTGGTAACACTGTGGTGGCAGAAACGGGGCTTTTCAAGGGCTTTTTACCTCATGTGGGATCTCTCCTGTTGGTAAATTAGCTCAGCTCTAAATCCAGTCAATATTTTATAGACTTTTTTTTTTTTTCCCTGTCCTCCTCCCCTTTCCTTGGGATCTTCTGCGGAGCCAAGACCTGCAGCTTTGGGTGGGTTCAGCCCTGTCAGATAAAACCTGGATTTGAAAAGCTCTGGGATTAATCAGGTTTTTGCTTTGGACCCACTTACAAAGAAAGTAAACTTTTCCTTCCTCTGTTAAAACCAAAAGCTATTTTTGTGTTTTTGTCTGCAAAGCAGCATCTCCTGACACAGGAATGGAAGGCTTGGTTTGGGTGACTTGTGGAGTTTAACCCAGTGCATCCCACTGACAGAATGGGGGGTTTGGGTTGGGGCAGCAGCTGAGCTGCAAGGGGGTTTTTTTGGTGAGTGTCCCTCCCCTGTGACAGGGATTGGCCTTGGGGGGGCCTGAGTGAAGCATCCCGAGGCAGCTCCTCCTGCCGGGAATTCTGCAGGTTCAGGGAGCACCAGAGACTTCTCCCTGCTCTCCAGGGCCATCACAAGTACTCAGGCTGCAAATATTCCTTGTGGAATTGCTGCTGGGTTAAGGAACAACAGCTTTATTTCCTTTCTGTTTGTGGCTCCTGGGGCTCTTCTGAGCTCCTGACCGGTGTGGCTGGTCAGTTGATTCCTCACTGGGCTTGGGGAATAAATTATTGTGCATTTCCTCCTTATAAGCACTGTGATATTCCCAGTTATCCGTGGGAGGAGCCTTGGAGAAGATCCCCTGGAATCAGCGTGGTGATTACTTGGCAGTTTGCTCAGGAAGAGCGGCAGATGGACACGCTGACATGTTCATACATGAACCCAAAGGAAAGAGCAGCAGGTTATTTTTACCATCCAGCCCAGCATTTTAATTAAAAAAGCGATTCAGTGAATGACATTTGTCACTTCTCCTAAAAGGGGGTGTGAACGAAGCAACAAAGAGCAGCCTAAAAATATTAAGCACGTTGGAGATGGATGCTGCCACGATGCCAGGAGAGGGTTGGTGATGCCAAGCTGTTGTTTGTTTACCTGCTGTGCCCGTGACAGGTCGATGGGAGGACTTTGGGTGGCAATTCCCATCCAGTGACTGCTGGGCTGCAGCTCCTGTGCTCCAGGATTTCTTCCTTTCTCTGGCTGCCGTTGCCAGCTGGCTTTGCTGGGGTCTGGGGGGGCCCTGTGCACCTCTGGACGAGCAGGCTTGGCTGTTAATTAGGGCTCATTAGCAGCGTGTGCTTGTTGGGGAGGAGAATTGGGGCTCTAATGAGGGGGGACCGGCCCTCCTTGCTGCAGTGGAGAGCACTAATTGAGCAAAGTATTCCCTGTCCTCGTCCTGGAAGGGTCTGTTCAGCTGGCTGATAGCTTAAGGCAAAGCTGATGAAGGGAAGGAGGAAGACAAAAAAGCTCATTTATTATCTTTAAGAGGGTGGTGATGGATGTGGAAGAAGCTGCAGAAAGCCAAGAGCCAGACACAACCTCGCTCTTGAGCTGGACTTGTTGAGCTTCTGTTTGCTGCTCAGCTCTGACATTGTAAATGGTTTCTGCTTTGAAAGCTGTGTGTCCTGCTCAGGAGAACGTTCCCAGTGCCTGCAGTTAATGATGTCACCTTTTGTTGCTGATTGCTCCGGGAAGCTGCTCATAAGTGTGGAAATGGAAGGTGCCAGCGGAAATTATTGCCTGCCTTGATTTAAAATGAAGGGGTTTCATTTTTTTCAGTGTACTTGGTAAATGCCACTGCAGTAAGTTGATGTGCAGGTTCACTTTGGTGCTGGAGGGGGTTTTTCCCGAGGATGGGTTGGAGGGAGCAGTGGAACCAGGGGGGCTGTTCTGATGTGTTGCTGCCGGGGTGACCCCAAACTCACTCACACAGGGAGGGAGGGGTAAAAATAGAAAGTTCCTGCGTGAGGCCGTGCTGGGGACAGGCTGGAGCTCTCAGTGCCTGCTGGAGCTCAGCACTCCTCGTGCTCCTGTGGCTGCTCTCCAGCTCTGGAGTTTGGCACGGGGGGTCGAGCTGGGAGGAGGCTCCAGCAGCCCTGCAGGGCAGGCGGTGGGAAGGAGGATGAGCAGGGGAGAGCTCAGTCTCCTCCTTCCCCTCTGCCTTGGTTCCCTCCCTGTGGCACCTGCACACAGGAGTATTTGCAGGTTTGCTGTGGGATCAGCAAAGCAAGGCCCTAATTCTGTTTAAGGAGGACTTGATAAATTCAGGGAGGTTTTCCTTTGGGCAGCGATGGAGGTTTCACCATTTTCGAGGTATTAATCTGCAGTATTTCCCCTTGTCCCAAAAACAAGGGTGAAGAGAGTAGAGGATCTCCTATAAACAAGGGTTTGAATGTGGTTTAATTGAAGTTGTTGCATTAACTATGATTGGAAGGTGACAGCAGCTCTGCTGGAATCACTTTGTATTGCTGGCAGCTCCAGCCTGGTGCTGATGGTTTTCCTGGGAACACCGATCCGTAATTTCCCAGCTGCAGATCTCTCACGTGCAGTGTAAACCACTCCTCAGACCCACTTTCTGCTTTGCCAGGTGACCTCTGGAGCTACGACTTCTACAGCGGGGAGTTCGTGGTGTCCCCCGAGCCCGACACGAGCGTTCACACCATCGACCCCCAGAAGCACAGATACATCATCCTGGGCTCTGACGGGCTCTGGAACATGATCCCCCCCCAGGATGCCATCTCCATGTGCCAGGATCACGAGGAGAAGAAGTACTTCATGGTGAGAGCAGGGGAAATTCAATACTTGTTACCTCTCAAAGTTGCTCGGTCTGAGCAGTGAAGGGTCCGACAAAGGGGTTGTTATTGAGGCATTTTCACAGTTTTGCCACAACACAGAGTTGTTAGAACAGCTTACTTGTTAGAGGCTGACGTCAAATACCAGGTCTGCTAACATTGTTGAATTTATTATTATTATTACTATTTGGTTGCCATTTTGGGTGTTCTTTTTCTAAGGAAGTTGTAAAAAAGGCCATCTGAAAATCAAATTTATCTCACGTCAGGGCTCCTGTCACAACACAGACAGTTGCTTGGACTGATTGAAATCCTTCTCTGGTTCATTTTACAAAGCAGATGAGAACAGGGCAGTGGGCACAGCCCCAAGGCTGCCAGAGCCCCAGAGTCATTTGGCCAACACCCTCAGGCAGGGGGTGTGACCCCTGGGGATGGGCCCGGGCAGGGCTGAGGGTCCCTCCCAACTCAGCACATCCTGGGAATTTATAAAGGGGATCATCAGACAGTGAATAGTCTGTAAAGCCCAGAGGGGCTCTGGGAGGGCTGTAGGTTGTGTTGCAGGCAGCTGTGGGTGCAGTGTTGTGGTTTAAAGCCCTGTGTGTCCCTGGAAGGGAAATGTTTCCTCGTGGAGCCGCTGCCGCACGCAACTCGCGGGGGGCACAAACCTCGGGCTGTGCCGCCCCTGTGCCACCTCCCAGTGTCCCTGACGTGTCCCCCCCGTGTCCCCAGCAGGGAGAGCACCGGCAGTCGTGTGCCAAGATGCTGGTGAGCCGCGCCCTGGGCCGCTGGAGGCAGCGGATGCTGCGGGCGGACAACACGAGCGCCATCGTCATCTGCATCTCCCCCCTGCGGGACGGGCCCAGCCCCTGGGAGCAGGAGGAGGAGCTGTACCTCAACCTGGCCGAGGGGCCCTCCTACAGCAGCCCTGACCTCAGCAGCACCAGCCCCTCCCGCTGCTGCACCCCCCCTGTCAAGGTAAGGGCTGCCAAATGTGCCACCCAGTGCCTGCCAGGAGCCACGGGGTGCTCAGACCATTGCCAGGGGTTAACACTCTTAGGAACTCCCCACCTCTCCACTTCTTGTTTTGGAGGGTTCAGCGTGTTTTTAAGTCTGGGCCAGGCACTGTGTGTGTCTGGATGATGTGTTTCAGATAATGTGTATTCACACATTCCGTGCCACATCCTCAGCACTGCCACGTGCAGAGCTTTGGAGAAGTGGGGACAGCTTTTACCACTGGTTCCTGAAAGACTGGGGAGCACCAGAGGCAGAGAGTTAAAGTAGGAACCTCTCAGAATGGCTGCTGATGGTTTATTAGCAGTTGTGGATCTGTGATCCCTCAGTGTGGAAGAAATCATGAGTGTAACTTTATGCATTCAGTTCACACAGCTTGAAGTGCACTCTGAGAGGTAAGTTTTCCAGGATTCACCCCCAAATCCAAGGGAGCCTGTTAGAAAGAACTCAGACTGGGAATCAGAGGTTTAAACAAGAGAAAACCCAACACATCCCCTTGGGGAGTGAGGCTGGCCTGCAGTTTCCCCCCTGCCTTGCCATGTCTGGGTGCAGCACAGCTGGGCAATTGCAGAGTGCTGCTTGTGGGTGTGTTCTGACCCTGTGGGGCTTGGTTGGGGATTGTTTGGCTGTGGGGTTTTATTTTCTCCTCTGAGGTAACTCGTGGGTTAATTTATACCAGCGCACGGTGATATAAAGAACGTTTCTCTCTGTGCTGGGAGATCTCATTACCTTCCTGGGGTTGATTTAATGTTCTTTGTGACAGAAGGTCTTCCTTGAGGCTGGAAGTTTTAACCATCAACATAAAGCAGAGCCCTTCAGAAGGTTATTTTGTTCAGTTTTGTGGCCTTTTCTTCCCCCCTGTAAGAAGGGCAGTGTAGCTGTGAGGGGGTGTTTGCCTCAGTAATTCCCAGCTGCTCCTGATTGAAGTCCCTGTCCTTTGATGTGCAGTGTCTGTGGATGACTGTCCTTTGGGCAAAGGAAAAGAAAGCAGAAATTAGAGAGGGAGTTTGCAGCGTTCCCCTGGGAGGAAGGAGCTGCTCATAAAGCAGCAAACTCCAGCTCTGTCTCCTCCCCTTCCATCCGTGGAGATCCATGGCAAGAGTTAAACCCCAGCAAAATCTTCGGGGGGGGGAAATATTGGAATTCTAAAGGCTCCTGAAATTTTCAGAGGTGCCATCTGGTTTGTGTGTGAAGTGTTATCAGGAATCACTGAGCTGTGCTGGCTGCACAATGTCCAGGAACCTGCAGTTCTGGATGAGGGCTTAGGGAAAGTTCTGTGGTTTTTTTATTCCCCCCTCTCCATCTGAGTAGGTTCAGTGAGCTGTGAATCTGCAGGAACGGACGCAGGTGGTGGGAGATGGAGGAAATGCCTGTATTCCACGATCCTTTGGGATCCCAGGGGTGTGGGCAACATCCCAGGAGGTGATTTGGTTGGTCACAGCAAACGTGGCCATGGAGAGCAGCACCCATTTGCAAAACAAACCAGAAACGCTTTGGTACATAAAGCTGCAGGTGAATGTGTGGTCTAATTTAGGTTGGTAATTAATTAATACTGTTGAATTTCCATCCCAGTTTCTGTGAGGGAAACAGGGATGGCCTTGACTCCTGACAGCTGCTACCTGCCAAAACAATTAATCTGGAAATAGATGGGAGACCAAAGTTTCTCAATTAAACAGAAGTATTTCTTAATTGCTTATCCTTCTGGCAGCAATTACTAATACCAAATTAATTCCGGTATTCCTGGGGCCAGTGATAAAGACTGATTGGATTGTTGAGACATTAAGTGGTGACTGATGGTTTATTTTTCCTGTTGGTCACATCCCTCTCCTCAGTCCATCCTCTACCTTCCCTTGGCTTTCCAAATCCTTCTCCAGGCTCAGCCCTTTGCACCAGGCAGATGTTGGAGATAAGGTCAAGGTCTTGCACAATAAAACCATCAAACCAAGTTGTTGTTGTTGCAGACACAATGCCAGAAGTTCCAGAGAGCAGCTGGAGCAGCTTTGCCAGAGCTGCTTCCTTAGGGATCCTGGAGGAGCTGAGCTGAGGAATAACCTTTGAGACACCATCCCTAAAGGTCTCCCTCTTGTGTTGGTAAATGTAGCAAAAGAATCTTAGCCAGGTGGTTTTGTCTACACGTGGGGAGCAACAGAGGAGTGGAAACCCAGTGTGGATGCTGGAAACAGTTCTGGTTGTCCTCTCTTGTGGAGGGCATTTTACTAAACCCTCAGGATCAGATTTTTGCCAAGTGCTGAGCAGCCCTGGAACTCACCTTGCAGGAGAACTGGAGTTATTCTGGGCTGTGACTCGAGAAGTATCTGTTTATTTTCCTGAGGTGTTGCTCTGACTGATGGAGCTGTGTGTGTGCACTGGAGTTCTGAGCACGTTATTTCCTTAAAATAATAACTGTCATTTGCCTCTCACTGGTGCTGTGTGGAGTAACGTGGCCTTGAAATTCACTTTTGAAGGACTCTGGAGTAACCAGGGATTTCTTCACAATTAAATCTTTAATAAGGTCAGAACTTGTATCTTCAGGGCACTGCATAAACAGTAATTTTCACAATCCCCCTGTGGATGGGGAGAGCTGGTGTTGTCCCCGTTTTCCTGTCGGCAGGACTGGGAATGAGGCACAGCCAGTTCTCTGGGGCTGCAGAGGAGCTGGAGGGAGGGTCAGAGGTTGGGAAGTCCCTGGTTCTCAGGACATCCCTCAACAGCTCCTGCCCAACAGGCAGACTGCGCTTCCTGGGGAGTCCTGGCAGTGCAGGCAGGGATGGGGCTGCACTAAAGCAGAGGCAATAAAGCCATTTTTAGGACAGCTCTGTCACTGCCCCGTTCTGTGGGCAGTGGGGGCACTGGGGAAGAGTTTGTCCCTCTCTGTTAACCTGGTTATGCAGCAGCTGAGGACTCGCGGTGTGACAAAGGTCAGAAGGCTCTCGCTGCTGTTGGGCCTCTGGTGGTGGATGGAGCTGCTGGGGCAGGACAGGGCCCTGTGGCAGTGCCTGCAGGAGGGAAGTTGTGTCTTCATGGTGGAAAACACTGCTGAAAAGGAGAGGACAGGGGTTCAGGCACTGCTTTGTCCACTGCCTGTGGATCCCTCAGGGTTTCACAGCTCAGATCCCGTCTCATCTTCCACCTCTCAGGGTGCAGAAAGGATAACTCAGTTTTGGGGTAGGATTTGTCTGCCTTTGCTAAGGTTTAGAGCAGTTCTGTCGCGCTGTCTGCAGCCCCAGAGGACAGTGCCTTTCCCTGGAAGAATTCCAGGCCAGGTTGGACGGGACTTGGAGCAACCTGGTCTGGTGGAAGTGTCCCTGCCCCTGGCAGGGGGTGGGACAAGATCCCCTTTCAGGTGATCACCATTCTGTGAGTCTGCGATTCCATTCGAGCCTGACTGTGTGTTTTCCTTCCCCCCCAGCTGTCGGAAGACGAGCCGTGGCCGCGACTGAGCGCCGAGCCGGTCCCTGCCCTGCTGCACAGCTCGGGGCTCCCAGACAAGCACCCGGAGCTGCCACCCGAGATCGCCAAGAGCAGCAGCGTCCCCGCCTCGGGAGGAGCCCCGAGGGACGCGGACCCGCAGGAGGAGAAGTGCAGCAAAGCGCTGGCCCTGCGGATCCAGGAATCCTACCAGGCCGTGGGCCTGGCCCCTTCCCACTCCGCCAACTCAGGCACGGACCAAAAAGGCTTCAAGGTGTCCCCCGCCGGCCCCGCCAAAGCGCAGGAGGCGGAGAAAACGCCCGCGGCAAACTTTAAAAGGACCTTGGAGGAGTCCAACTCGGGCCCGGCGCTGAAGAAGCCGCGGCGGGGGCTGGGCCGGGCGCTGGGCCCGCAGGGGGACGGCCCGGCCCGCAGGACCCCCGCCAAGCTGGCCATGAGGCGCAGCCTGCGCGGGCAGAAGAAGCTCAGCCCGGGGCTCTTCCAGCCGCCCAGGAAAGCCGTGTGCGTGTGCTGAGCTCCCAGACGGGCTCCACGGAGCGCCATGCTCCCGCTCTTTTTTTTAAAAAAAAAAAAGTAGGAACTTTTTTTGGTATCCGACAGCTTTATCCCCCACACGCCCCTCCTCGGCCTTGTACTTGCTTGTATTATAACTGTGAATTTTGTAGATGTGTAGGGTATAAGTCACTGTAAAATGTGTGTAAATTTGTATTCCTTCATATAAATGTAGTTTTTCTCTCTCTCTCTCTCTCTCTCTTCTTCCTTGTATAATTGTTTTAAAACCTTGTTTAAAAAAAAAAAAAAAGGAAAAACCGAACACAAAAAGTTAAAATAATCCTTTTTGTTAATTTACTAAAAGTCATCGATTTGTATACGCTTCTTGTGAGGAGAATTTCACAACTTTTTAACTAAAGTAAATTATTAAACAGAACGGGAGATATGTATTTTCGTAGTCCAATATGTTCCACCTAAGGTGTGTCTTTTAGAGAATACACTAGGTCTATATTTTGGTTTTAAATTTTAGATTTCTCTACTCAGAAATGAAATGTATGTGGAAGCAGAGATTTGGGTCTTGCTTTACGCACCTCCATGTCGATTTTACGTTCATTAAAATACTATGCAGTATCTTACTTAGTTGTATTTTTTGTAACGATGATCGTCAGAAGTATTTAGCAAAAAAAAAAAAAAAAAAAAGTGTGTTTTAAAAAAACTCCCAACTTCCCAGAACATCTCCAGCCAAGCCATTCCCCACCCCCTGTTCCAAATGATGGCATTTTATCCAGGCATTAACTGCCCTTTGGAGACGTGTTTTCTGGTATTCCAATACTGATGGTGCTGCTAATACCTTTCAACACAAGTTCTTAAATTATTTTATGACTCTTTTCATTGACTCTGTGGACCATGTGTATGTTCACCTCAATAAAACACATGAAAACCTGACGGGGACGCTTTTCGTTTTTTAATTTTTATTTCAGGCCCGAGTTCTGTTATTTATTAAACAGTACAACATGAATTTATTATTCTAAAATAAATGAATGCTTGTTTTGTGTCCATTAAAAATCTGGAAACTCTCCCATTTTTCCACTCAGGAGACAAGACATCCCGCGCAGGTTTATGATGGAAGTGATCTTGGCAATTTCTACTCAACTGGAGCAAGATGGAACTTTGGAAGATGTTTCAATGGGGAAATAAAGGGGCAGGACTTTATTGGAAGGTGTGGTTATTTATAGACTCCAGTTCTTTGCTGCTGGAACAATCACAGGTTGGACCCAGCCCTGCCATCTCCACACGTTACCGTGGTTCCAGAAATCCCAGGGGATTGGATTCCTGAGAATGTCCAACTCTCCTTCAGCCGTGCTGGCTTGGGAGATGGAAGGAAGAGTCTGTCCAGATTGGACCTGTTTGTGTGTGAGGATGTAACTCAGTTTTTGCTGTGATGTTCTCATTCTACACAGGATGTGGAGGCCACAGCAACCCTGTGGATTTCCCTGGCAACAGTCTTTCAGGTAATAATCTCTGAGGTACTAATGACCTATTTTCGTGTTGACCTCGCCACCCTGAACCTTTCAAAGAGCCAGTGTAACCCCTGGGGTAGATGGCTGTCAGTGCAGCTGCTGGAGAATAAAGGCTGGAGCAAATTTCTCAGGTTTTTTTGCTCAATGCAGGAGCAAAGTTAAAGTTTCCACCAAACTCTGCTGCGTTCAGGAACGTGTGCCTCGTTTTCTGAAGATCCCTCACACCACTTTTACACTTGGCCTTCTCCAGCTTTGGGGTTTTGTCCATTTTTAATAAACTGAACAAAACCTACAGTTTTCCCCAGGAAAGCTGCTGGATGATGCTCATGAACCATCCATCCCAAGCTCCTCTGCACTGCTCTCAAACCTGCTGCTGTAACCTGGCAGCGGTTTGCTCCTGTGTGTTTTGCCCACCTATTTATCACTTGGCCTCTCTGAAATCATTATTCAAAGCTGAGACAGCCAAGTGTGGCAATTTACACCCGCTCCTTCGGGAAATCCAGTCTGAGTTACACACCTTTTCCTCTCTTGAGAAATAAAGCTCCAGGATGTGCAAACCCTGTGGGTGCTTCCCTGGGCAACCTGTGCCAGGGCCTCCCCACCCTCCCAGGGAAGGATTTCTTTGTAATATCCAATTTAAATCCATCCTCTGCCAGCGTCAATCCATTCCCTGTGCCGTGTGGCTCCATCCCTTGTCCCAGGTTCCTCTCCAGCTCTCTGGGAGCCCCTTTAGGCACCGCAAGGCACTCTGAGGTCTCCCCGGAGCTTTCTCTTCCCCAGCACTGGGGCAGCACCCAAATTCTGAGTGGCACCAGCTCCTGCCCCTGAGGAGCCACTGCCCGGGAGCGGGACACGGCTGAGGGGCGGCCTCGGCCCCGCCAGGCCTCTCTTTCTGCTCGTTCCCCGCCCTCCCCTCGCCGCCCTCACCTTCCCTGGGACCCGCCGAGCCGCTCCCGCCCTGGCGGATCCCGAGACGCTCATCGCCCCCTCATCGCCCGCCTGTCCCTCACGGTCCCCTCACCGTTCCCGCACTGTCCCCTCACGCGCTGACCACGCCCCAATGACGTCAATCGGGGCGGGGCCCAGCCCGCCAATCCGGTGTGGCCCCGCCTCCCTCCCCCCTCCCCGCCCCACGTGCGCGCGGCGGCTCTCGCGAGATCCCCGATGTAAACAAAGCCGGCGGGCGGGGCAGGAGGAGGCAGCTCCGCCCTCCTCTCTTCGCATCCCCCCGAGCCCCGCCCACCGGCCGGCGGCGCGGCCGCCCATTGGCCGGTCTGGGGGAGGGCCCGCCTCCACCGGGCGCTGATTGGCGGCGGGCGCGGAGCGCTGGGTGTCATTGCCGGGGGGTCCCAAACAGTGCCAGTGGCGCCGGCGGCGGCCCCAGGTGAGGGACGGGCGGCTGAGGGGGCGCCGCGCGGGCCGCGCCCGGGGCAGCGCTGAGGTGGCTCCGAGCGCGCTCCGAGCGCCGGGGACGCGAGGCCGGGGCGGGCCGGGGGGCGGCGGGCAGGGCAGGCCGGGCCGTGCGGCCTGAGGGACCCCCGGCGGGGCGGCGGGAAGGCGCGGGGCGGGGGGCGAGGCCGCGGCCCCGCTCACCGGGCGGTCCCGGCTCGGACACGGCCCCGCTCGCCCGGCGGGCGAAAGGGGGACAAAAGGCCGGGCAGGTCGCGGCGTTTGGGTGGGAGTTGCTCAATAGCTGAGGGTGCCCGGCCGGCCCGGCCGCGGGGGGAGGACGGGGGGTCCCTGCCCTGGCAGCGCCGCAGGTGCCGCTGGTTGGGGCGCAGCTGTGTGGAATCCCCGAAGATGAGGGGCTGAACTGCCTTCAGGTGCTCCTGCCCCTCACGGGGGTGGCCCCAAGGTGTTGGCACTCAGGGTTGGGCGGGCACAGGTGTCCCGAGGGCGGGTTCATCCTTCCCCTGCCAGTCTGTGTTTTGTGGTTCCTCCACGCGTGTGCCACGCTGCGGTTGTGTTCCTGAGGGTTTTGTTATTAATTATCACTTTGTTATTAACTTCTGGCTCGTTATCTTGCCTCGCTGACTGAGCTGGCCCTGGCAGAGTCTGCCCCGACCTGAAACGATGCTGGTAATTGGTACCACGTTGGGGATTTGGCTTTTTCTCTCCCCTTGTGCCCAGGTTCTTGGTTTGGGGTGGGGGGACACAGCGGAGGGGACTGAGGAGCTGTGAGGGATCTGTGATGCTCCTCAAGTGCTCTTTGCCTCTAGGAACGTTTCCCAGAATGTTCACACAAGTGTGAAGCAGAGCTCGCAGGTGACACAAAAAGCTGACATGGAACAGCAGAATGTGTTCAAACACACTTTTTGTGTGAGCTTCAGTGTAACCCATTTTTTTTTCAAGAGTACACTGCAATTGTGACTGTGCGTTATTTTTATATCATTATTTTCCAGGACTATGGTAAATAGTGGGTTTATGTAATGGTGATGACACCTGTGTGCCTGTACCACTGTCTTTAATCCTGGAATTGTTTGGGTTGAAAGGGTTGAGAGCTGAAGATACTTTTCCAGTTTATCATGCAGGTCTGTGGGGGGTTTTTTTTGCTTCCACAAACGCTCGAGGAGCTGCAGTGACTGAGTCGCCGCGAAGAGAAATCGCCAGTTGGGCGCGTGCTCTTATTTTGCTTAAAAAAAAAGTGCTGTAAAGGCACCTACAGGTTTGTCTGAGTGGAGCTGCTTTGTTATCACCTTGAAGAATACTTGAGGAGGTTTGTGACAGGCTGTGCTGTTAAACAGGGCTGTGTTTCCTGCAGGTGTGAGCACAGGAACGATGGCGACGGAGTCCCCGCGCCGGCCCAGCCGATGCGCCGGAGGGGTGGTGGTTCGGCCTCAAGCTGCCACGTAAGAACCTTCTAGAACAACAGCCTTGGCTGAGATGCCCTTTATTTTCTTGTAGGAGGACCTTGCTTGTGTTTTGGGTTTGTTTTTTGTTTTATTCCAAGCCAGCTGGGAGGGCTCGTGTTGTCACTGCGGTTTTCCAAAAGTTCCACATGTTGAATTTCCATCTTTTAGGTGCAGGTCAAACTGTCTCCCTGTCCGGGGTGCTTTGCACTTGCACACCAAGGCAAAGCCGCACGTTTAGGAAACTGGAATGTTGCATAGTTTTGGTGTTGGTTGCACCATTTTGCTGTACAAACACTGCCCTGGCTGCAGGTCAATGGTGCAACCTTCCTTAGGCCAGAGGGACAGGCTACTACACATTGTCCTTCCTTGCTGTTCTCTTCAGTAACACCTTCCTCCTGGACTGGTTATACTAAAACACATAAAATTTTTCATTAAAATCCTTCAGTAAATAGGGTTGTGGATTCTATTTTTTTTTTTTTTTTTTTTTTTTTTTTCCACTTAAAAGAACAAAACCAAGAAGAAAGGAAGCAGCTCTGTCTCTGACCATTTTTGTCCTTGGGCATCCCGACTTTCATTGTGGTCACATGGAAATACTTCCATGGCAAGAAGGGTTTTTTGGCTGTAGGACAGTCTGGAAGGTTTGTGGTCTT